GATACATGTATGTAGTCTCTACATTATTCCCTTTAGATTTGCATCTATTTGAATACTTTAATGATAAAAAGTTTAAAACTAACCACTTGAACTTTATTTGTAGAAAATAATTTGGGGAAGATTATGTTCAGTTTTGTTTCTTTTGGGGAAGTAACGGTTTTAATGAGACAAAGTTCACACGACATATAACTTACCCATTTAACGTGTACAACTAGATGAGTGTGGTGGCAAAGGCCTGTAATCCCAGCACTCGGGAGCCTGAGGCAGGATGATCACCAGGAGTTTGAGGTCAGCCTGGGCTACACAGTGAGTTCAAGTTTAGCCTGAACTACATAGTGAGACCCTGTCTCAAAAAAGTACACCACTAGTGTACTTCTGTCTCTAGTGTACTTTCTGGAACTTGTAAATGGAATCATGCAATGTGTGGTCTTCTGTGACTGGCTTCTTTCACTTAGGACAATGTTGCAAGGTTCATCTGCGTTGTAGCAAATGTCAGTGCTTCCTCTTCACTGCCAAGCCATGTGCTGCAGTAAAATATAAAATTTCCATTCTGACTTTTTTTGCTGGACACAGTGGTGCACACCTATGGTCCCAGCACTCTGGGAGGCTGAGGCAGAAGGATTACAAGTTCGAGTCAAGCCTGGGAAACTCAGTGACTTAGTGAGAATCTGCCTCAAAAAATAAAAAAGGGCTGTGGTGTAGCTCAGTGCAAAGGACCTGGGTTCAGTCTTTAGTACTCTGCCCTCAACAAGATTTTGCTGGGCTGGGGATTGAACGTAAGGCCTCACCCACAGTAGGCAAGCGTTTTACCACTGAACTACATCCCTAGCCCCATTTTTTTTAAACACCTCTGATGGAAAATCTTCTTCCATTAATGAGCAACTCTCCCTTCTCTTCACCCCCAATTCCTCGTAACCTCTAATCGACTCTCTATGAATTTGCCTAGTCCAGATATTTCCCATGGGTGAAACTGTACAATATTCTTTGGTTCTGACTTAATTCAGAAGAGCATTTCTTCAAGGTTCATTGACATTGTAGCATAAATCCACATTCCTTCCTTTTTATGGCTCTGTGATATTCCACTGGAGAGCAGACATACTTTTTTGTTCGTTTGTTTGTTTTTGGTCTCACTATGTAGTTGAGACTGACCTGGAACTCACTACGTAGCCCAGGCTGGACTCGAACCCACAGCGATCCTCCTGCCTCAGCCTCCCGAGTGCTGGGATTACAGGCATGCGCCACCACGCCCGGCTTAGACATACCATTTTGTTATCTGTTGTCTGTTGACAGACACTGGTTATTCTGAGTAATGCTTCTTTGAACACTGGCATACAAGTAGCTCTTTGAGTCTCTCTTTTCAGTTATTTTGGGTGCACACCTTGGAGTAGGTATGGGTCACGCCAGGACAGACAGTAATTCTATCTTTAGCTCTTGAGGAATTACCAAACTTTCCCACACTAGCTACCCCATTTTGTGTTCCCACTGTAATGTGGGAACAGGTTCTGATTTCTCTACAGCCTCACCAACACTGGTTACTTTCTTTTTCATTTGTTCCTGCATGTGTGGGTGCATGTTAGGGACAGAATTCGGGGGCTCAGAGATGAACTTCATCCCCAGGCATTTTAGTTTTCTAAAATTTTGAGACAAAGTCTTGCTAAGTCACTCAATTGCCCCAGGAGGGCTTGAATTTGCAATCTTCCTGCCTCAGCCTCCCAGAGCACTGAGATAACAGGTGTGCACCACCATGCCCGAGGTGTATCTCCTTTGGAGAAACGTCTATTGAATTCTTGGACACTTTCAAGCTGTGTTGTTGGTCTTTTATTGTTTGGTTGCGTTTTGTAAGAGTTCTTTAAATATTCTGGATGTCAAATCTTTGTGAGACAGATGCTTTGCAATATTTTCTCCCATTCTGTGGTTGTCTTCTCACTTTCTTAATGGTATCCTAGGATGCAAAAGTTACACTGCTGCTGATGTCCAATTTATCTACCTTTTTCTTTTGTTCCCGCATCTGCTATCATTTTGAGACCACTTCCCTCAGGCGTGTGCCTGTGACTTCCTCTAGGAATTTTAGCAGTTTGGCTCTAATAGTTCTGTTTTGGTTTTGAGTATATACAGAGTCTGACCAAAACAAAAACATATACACACTTATCATCGCTACTAAATAAATATCTGGAACCGCTGAAGCCTGAGGGTGCTGGGTCCTGCAGAGTAAAGACTTAAATCTGAGTTCATGACCAAACATCTGAAGCTCATCACCAGGACTGTGATGGTACAAGAAGGGAACGTGGAAGTGTATACAGGACACTAAACAGAATCCTCACCATGGATGGGCTGAGGACGTTACGTGACAAAGACACTATGAGAAGCCTTGGCCAACAGCGGCAGAGCTACAAATCCTGCCGGCTGATCTACAACATGGAAATGGCTCAAAAGATCCTCTTCTTGACACGGAAAAAATCAGGCAGATTTGTGGCAGGGCTGCTGAGGCCCTGTGGGTCGGAGGCCCAGAGCCAGTTTGTGTTTTCACCTCTTCTGTCTTGAAACCCATTTTGTTCTGTTTCTGTGTAATAAACTCGGTCAAATGTTCAAAAAATCAATCAATTAATTAACGTCTGGAAGCCCATGGCCACTGTGAGCACCTCTTATAGCTGTAGAGGCCAAAGGTAAGTTATCTCATGATGTCTCAATAAATTTGGTATTAAAATATTTATACAAGCTTTTCTTTTCCCAATATAAACATTTTTTTAGGTAAACTCTGTACTTTTGTATATGGTATGAGGTAGGGGGCTATGATATTTTTATTTTGTGCTTTCATTATTTTTCAACAATATATAGTGACAGTTCCCTGGAAGAAGAAAGCTCTGGTAGAAAGAAGGGATTCACCTGTCTTCACTCTGCCCGGCCCAGGCCTCTGACCAGCAAGGGGCTATGTTTGCTGCTCTAAGGCCCTTGCTTTGGCTACCCACTTCCTCCCCTTCTCTTCTTCTTTTTTGTTTTATTTTGGTTATGGTTTCTGAGCAGGGTCTCATGATGGAGTTCAGGCTGCCCTTGAACTCACTATGTAGCCCAGGTTAGCCTCAAACTTGGGATAATCTTCCTGTGTCAGCCTCCCAAGTGCTGGGATTTCAGACATTTGCCACCAACCAGACTCTCTTCTCTTCTTTACCTTCCCTTCCCGTCTTTTCCAGAAGGGTTTCCCATGACTCTGTGCCAGGCCTTGAGATCTCTCTGACACCGTCATTAGATGCGGAGGGTCTGAGGGCCAGGGCCTCTGAAGAGGCTCAAACCCAAACCCAAAAGAGGCAAGGTGTTACAGCCGATGCCTTTTACACTTCCTGTTAAGTGAGACTTGGCAGTGTGCTTTGAGGTATGCTTTGCACACGCACCTTGACGGACACAAAGCGTTCCCCAGCATAGCCCTCTGTGTCCTTGTTTCTGACCAGCAGCAGCCTTGACACTTGATTAGTGGAGCTGAGAAGCTGTAGCGTCGAGCTCCTCCCAGCCGTCTTCTTTTCCGTGCTCTTCCCCTAGTGGGGCAACAACATAACTTCCAGTTTCTGGTGGAATGGCAGAAGCCCTGTGAACTCAGGCACTGGGTCTGCTCCAGGCGGACACTGTGGTGGGGAAATTGAGTGTCTCAGCCTCCCCTGAAGGGAGGCCACCTGCATGTGATGAGAGGATCAGGCCAAAGAGCCAGACACTTGGAAACATTTAGGTAACCTCCAGATCTGTCTTTTTAAGCATGTTTATGATTCTAGCAGGGCATGGTGGTGCACTCCTGTAATCCCAGCACTCAGGAGGCTGAGGCAGGAGGATCACAGCAAGCTCGAGGCCAGCCTGGGCTACACAGCGAATGAACTATAAAGTAAGGCCAAGCCTGAACTACAAAGTAAGATTCTGTCTCAAAAACAAATGAATAAAAAACAAACGTGATTCTGAAATCTTCCTGAGCACCATGGCCGCCTTCTGCCTGACGACCCTGGCTTGGCACATTTACAATTTTAGCTTGTAAGACAGGGATGAATGAAATGCTATTACATCAGGGGCTGGGGACAGGTGTGGGGGTGCAGGGAGGAGATACAGTGTGTAAGTCACGCCCAGTTGAACTCCAGGAAATTTGCTGTTGTTTATTGTTGGGACTCAGAGGTAGGAGTAGCACTTCTGGCTGAGATGCGGGGCGGGGAGGGAGGCTGAGGCTGGGGCTGACCTACAAAGACACAGGAGGTTTTCAATAGGCACAGAAGAGGAGGACAGCATGCAGTAGAGAGCCAAAAATGGTCAAGGGCAGAAGCAGGAAGAAGGAATTAAAAGGCAGATGGACTGGGCTCAGTGACAGGAGGATCTCTGTAAGTTTGAGGCCACCCTGGGATACATAGTGAGTTCAAGGCCAGCTTGAGCTACACAGAGAGACCATCTCAAAACAAAAACAACAGAATACTTTTAAAGAAGGCAGAGGGGTGCACTGCACAGATGAAGCTCAGGAAAGGGGGATGCTTGCTTAAACCAGGGGATGAAGAGTCACCCAGGATTTAGAAGTGGGGAGAGAGGGCTGACAGTGGTGGCAGCACGTAAATTTGCAGTTTGGTGGGAAGGGAGCTTCTGGGAAGCTGTCCTGTACCCTGGCTGCACATGGGGGATCCGTTCCTTGGCCAGGGGAGCAGTCCCTACAAAATCCCACCTGCCCCACAACCCCACTCTTGTCCTGGGAGATCCTCGGCCCCATCTCTGGGGTGGGCACTGGCACCCAGAGTTCTGACAGGTAGCTCAGTGCCAGGCACTGTCACGGAGGCAGGAGGGACACTGCAGAGCGGTGCTGGCTACCCCCCCGCCCCCGCACCTTCTAATCAGCCTTGCCACCTTGGCCCTCGAGGATGGGCAGGCGGCTCCCTTCTCCAGCCCCTACCATGTGCGCCCCAGCAGGGCTGCCCTCTCCCTCTCACTGCGTTTGTTTTGTGACTTCTCTGGGTTAGAGGAGGTAATTAACTGTTTTGGTTTAAAAGCCCTCCTGCTGGGTCCCAGTCTGCGTGGGAGAATCAAAGTAAACAAGCAAAAGTGAGCTGCAGTTGTCGAAGGTCTCCGCACCTACCTTTCCGGACCAGGAAGGAAGAATAGTGCTGCAGGTACATGGGCCTGGCCTTTCATTCTCTCACTGAGCGATGGGTTCAGCCATGCTGCGGTTCTAGATATGCATCCAGTGACAGCCACGTCACCTGTCCTTGCCCGAGTGGTTTTAGAATGATGCGCATGACATATTTTGGCTACTGACTTCCTGTAGCCCTCAAGCCAACCTGAGGTACAGGGCTGGAAATGGATCCCAACTGTCCCCTCATGCAAAGAGCAAGGACCAATTTTCTTTTAAACGCAAAAGGCTTTTCACCTCGGTGGAGGAGAAAGTCTGTCTCCCTGCCCACCCTGAAATTTTGGCAGTGAGAGGTAAGATTTGAACGTGGGCCCACACTGCAGCCAGATTCCTATGTGCGCAACAGAGGATTCAATAACACTTGGCCGAGGTTTTGGGACAGAGAATCTGGTCTCCACACGAAGGAGGTTATAAAGCGTGAAGACAGAAGGATACACTTCTAACAACAGGGCACAGCAGCCTTGCGAGGAAGTGAAGCCAGCTAACAGTAACTTCCGAGGGCTGCAAGATAAAGTCCTCGACTTGCTGTTCTCCTGAGCAGGCCTCAGCCTGTATGGCTGGGCAGCATCCAGACAGGGACTCTTCAGATTTCCTAGTGCACAAATGACGGTTACAGGCAGGACAGAACTCAGGAAATGCAGCAAGCTGTGTATGGCAGGAGCAGAACACAAAGAGATAGTTCCTGCAGGTATGCAAAATGGGATCGTAATTCCCAAAAACAACCTTTAAAGTACACGAGGCTCTAAAACTAAAAAAGAATTAAAGAAGTGACCCACACAAAATATTACCAGTTTGGACAGGTGTTATGGTGCACACCTGTAGTCCCAGCACTCTGGGGGGCTGAGGCAGGAGGATCATAAGTTCCAGCCCAGCCTGGGCAATTTAGTGACTTAGCAAGATTCTGTCTCAAAGTAGAAAAATAAAAATAAAAAAAGGGCTGGCGATGTAGTTCAGCGCAAAGGCCCTGGGCTCAATTCCTAGTACCACAACATACACACCAAGAAAGAAAGAAAGAAAGAGAGAGAAAGAGAGAGAGAGAGAGAGAGAGAGAGAGAGAGAGAGAGAGAGAGAACTAGTACTAGTTGGTTCTAGCTTTGCATATTTTGATTGCTGCTGTTCAAATCTATGCTCATGACCGCATTTTGTAGTAGCTGATCATTTAAAAGATATATTTATTTGTTTTATTTGTCTTGCTTCCTAATTATTTCTCCAAAGAAAAATGTAACTAAAAACGTCTGTTTCTTTTAGGTGCCACATCTATCAGTCTCAAAGGATGGTATTTTCCCCACCGTATTCGTCATCTATTTCACTTTTTAAATGAACCAGGAAAAAAATATATAAGGTCGAAAAACTGAAGAATGGAGGATGTTGAAGGCCAGCAGGACACTGTATGGTTAAAAGGGCAATTTGGAGGTGCTTAGGGGCCAGCTCCAGGGACAAGGGGACAGGAGGCAGCCAGTTGCAGTAGAGGTGGTGGCTGGACGCATCCTTTCCCCGCACCCACGGACCCTGGGCGCTCCCGTCTTCCAGCAGGAAGTGGTCCCCAGCAGTGCCGTGGCTGGCCCGCGTTTGATTCTCCTCGCCTTTCCCTTTTCCCTTTGACAGCTCTTCATTTTGACTCCACTCCTTCGCTGGTGCCGGGCAGGCGCTCGCAAGACCACTTGGATTTTCTTTCCTCTCTCTGCGTCCAGTAAATTTTCTCACGTTTAATGTGAAAACAAGCAGGCTGAGTTCGTGTGTGGTGAGGCAGACGCCCAGCGGTTTGGCGGACTTGGGTTTACGGGGCAGAGGCCCAGCCTTGCCAGAGCCTGCCTGATGTGGTGCAGCGGAACAGATGTGGGGGCGCTCGCTGCTTCCCCAAGTGGGTGTCAGAGCGAACCTGCAGCCTCCAGCAATAAGAAGCCGAGGCCTCCAGGGCTGGCAGCGTTGCCCGGAGAGGCTGCTGGACACACAGGGAATGTGCCCACGCGCCCCTCCTTCCTAGCAGGGCTACCGGCTTCCCACCTTGTTAACCCGAGTCACAGTGCAGGGTGGCAAGGAAAACCAGGGATTTTTTCCCCCCTTACTACACAAACAGGATATGCCAAAAAAACGGAAGTATCAAGAAAAGTTAAAGGGCCGGGGATTTAGCTCAGCGGTTCGGTGGGTGACCTACCTTGCAAGCACAAGGACCCGAGTTCAATCCCTGGTACCAAAATAAATAAATAAATAAATAAAATAAAGCTCTTTGAATCTGGCCTTTGCTGCATACCTAGTTAGTTGCTAGACCACGCGTGAAACCTTGGTGGGCAATGACTTTGAATGTTGTCATCCAGCTGCTGCTTTTGGGTGTGGATTTGAGGGAAGAAGCCAAGCTTTGTAGCCATCTGTGTAAAGCCCAGAGGGGTGATGGGTTCCGTCCTGTGACGAACCCGTCATCCATTAAAATGTCCTAAGTAGAAATGCATGGCAGACCCGAGCCTGCCCAACGCGCGAGCTTGGCCGCAAAGCACGCTGCAGCCTCGCTGCCTTCACGACAGTGCTGAGCAGCACCAGAGCAGAGCCTGGTGCCCACAGCTGCTGAAGGACAGCGAGGTCAGACTTGTCAGGAGGCTCCACAACTTGCCTCCAGTGCAGATGGGCAGCACTTACATCTCAGGTCTCCAGTCTTTGTGTGTGTATTTTTTGTTTTGTTTGAGACAGGACCTTGCTGTGTAGCTCAGGCTGGCCTCGAACTCAGCCCTGCTGCCCCAGCTTCCTGAGTATGCGCCACCACGCCTGGCTAGGATTCCAATCTGCGTCTGTGTCCTAGGGCGTGGGTGACTTCCCCTGCAGATTTGATGAACCGTTTTATTTTCTCCTTGAACTTGTTCAGTTCAGATTCCGGGACTGGGTCGGGAGCCCTTACGGAGGCGGAGATCCGGTCTCCTGCCACCCGCCTTTTTCATTCAGCAACGGGCAGCGACGTTCCTCTTCATGTAGGCATGGCCAAGGCAAACACTTGCAATCTCTGCCGGTCCTCCATTGCGTGGATATATCATCTGTCTCAGCAATCCCCACAGGATCAAGATTTCAATTTCCCGTTTTGGGTTTTGGTTTTTGGTTGGTTGGTTGGTTGTTTTTGCTGTTAATTAATTTATTTCATTCAAAAGCTAAATTTCCTGAAAATGCGTTATGCACCAGGTGCTAGTTTAGGTGCTGGAGAGAACAACTCCCTGCCTGTACGGAACTTACACTGCAGCTAAGCTAACAGCTGATAAACCAAGAACCTTTAGAGGCTGAGATGAAGCTATAAAGAGAACGCAGCAGGTCAGGAGGGATGGCGGATGCTTGAGGTGGTGGCAGATCAGCTTCTGTGAAGATGTGCCAGCTGCCTCAGTACTTGAATCACTAAATAAAGCTATGAGAAATATCCTGTAACATTCACCTTAGCACACTTGTCCAGTTACCTGATCACTTGGGTTCCCTAGGTCAGGCCACGGGCCTCCAACTCTCACAGCCTCCCTCCAACCCAGCAGGTCCCACTCCAAGTCCCCCTGTGCCTGGGACCACCAACAAAAGCAACAGGATGGTCTCTTAACAGCACTGTGCCTCCATTTCCTCACTTGAAAGATGGAGGTAACAGCAGTGCTTGACTCAGGGAACAGAGGACAACAGATACTAGATCTAAAAGAACACATGAGGGCCAGGGATTTAGCTCAGTGGTGCCGCCCCTGCCTCTCAAGCACAAGGTCCCAAATTTGATCCCTGGTATCAAAAGACAAAAAAAGAACACATGCGCATTTATAGTTTTCAAAGGGACATTAAACTCCCATCTGCTGGTGCTCACCCTCTTGGATTTGGTTCTGTGGTCACAGTGACTTGGTCCAGTCTTCAGAAGCCCCAGTGTCGAGAACTGCACCATACCGGGGACCGGGAATGTAGCTCATGGCTCGGAGGTCCCTGGTGCTCAGCAAGAGGAAAGCCCCGTGGAGCAGTCTCAGACTGAGGAGGGTTCCCAGGGCCAGTCTGCTCAGACAGTGGGAGCTGGCTCCCCATGGATGGGCCGCAGGGTACACTACCACCAAATACCGCTCCCTGACATTCGAGAACAGCAGAAGCAGGAAGTCACTCTTAACTTCCGCCCTTCTTCCCGGAAGCAGGCACAAGCCTTTGTTCCAGAGGTGCCCTTCCTATGCCCTGAGGAAGGGAACATCCCCATCCTCCAAGACACAGGTATCGCAAAGGACTTGAATCCACAGGCCTGGCCAAGCTCCCCATTTGTTCCTATGAGGTCAGACCCTTGTCTTCGACTTCTGCATGGCCAACCACTCTGTACCAAACTGGGCACGAACACTACCCCGTTTCCCTTGTTTCTGTGAGTCTAAAGGCTTCCACATCATGGAGAACCAACCAAATATGTAATTATTATACACATAAATTTAAAGAACAGAGAAGGCCCCACCATTTTGCAAGTGTACTAAAGAAGCATCAAAGGTAAAAAAAGTACTTGCGATGAGGAACTTTAAAACAGTTGACAAAAATACCAAGTGTAATTTTAAAACATATCTCATGGTTAAGAGGCTATATGTTACCTCTTTTAGTATTTAGCAATTTCTATCTCCATTCTTCTTAGTGATGTTTGTTCTGCTTGATTCAGTGGGTTTGGGTGGGCTTGGATACGGATGTTTTTAAAGCTCCCTTGGTAACTGATGACAGCCAGGGCTGAGAACTCTGCCCTACAGGTTTCAAATGCCTGCTCCATAGGACGAGCAGCCCCTAGTGCTCAGGTGACAAAAGCTGCTGGGGAGGAGGAAGCCAACAGCCCCTTGAGTATGTGTCATAAACCCTCAAGCAGAAGTAGTCATCACACAAAACCTCACCAGCGCGTTCCATTTTACTGCACTCTTCTGTCCGTGACACTGTTGGCAAATGCTGCTGCTGAAGAAACTGGCCACCGTGATGATTTCGGCTCTGGGCTGGTGATTTATGCCCCGATCCTTAGTTCACCATGCACTGATGGGAGGACTCGCATGACAGTTGAGCAGGAAGGGCACCACAGTGGGAGACCAGGAACGCTAATCCATCATTTTACAGAGACAGCAATAAAGAACTGCAAAAATGAGATCACCGCCTTCTTTGAAGAATTACTTCATTGGCAGTTTTTTCTGACCTAAAGAAAATGTGTAACCCTTATAGGAAAGCACACACATATTTTAAGATACCTGTGACTCAACACACCGTGACACCATCTGGCACACCGGAGCTGGTCCATACACAACCCGGGGCCACCACTCCCAAGTCCCAACTTCCTTCCTTTGTCCTCTTAATCAATAGTCATTCAACACCGGTTGAGTCCTCACACCTCCATTTGGCTCAGGTCTACTTAGTCCTGGCCCAACCTTCTCAACAACTGCCCTGAAACTTCTGGAATGATAGTGATTCCCTCACAGCAGCAGCCATTCCCTGTAACGCCGTCCGTTCTGGAGCTGGGGCTTGGCCTTGTGCTGCCCACGGTCGGGTGACTCTCTCATGGGGAGGAAGCCACATTCCCCTGCGTGGAGGGCCTCCTCCTCACGCACCACCCCAGACCATCCCTTCCCCCATGGGAGTCCATGCCACCCGGTCATGTCAGTTTTCAAGTCCCCGCTGTGCTCATCGATGGAAATGTCTCCCTACAGCTCCGAATGGAATCCATCTCATGCCCCAGGCCAGTGATGGCAAACCTTTTAGCACTTTCAATGATACAAATAGCCCGCCCTGGCATGTGTGCCGTAGGTTCACCATCCCTGCCCTAGGCACTGTCCAACACCCACCTTGATGCCTTGGGCACACCAGGGGCTTGCTTGTCACAAAATTGCTTCATCTCTAAATTCTCAAGCCCTGAAACCACCCTCTCTGATGCCACCTCCTCAGCTGCCCCTGGTCCTCGTGCTTTAGTGAAGTGGGCTCTCTCTCACCCTCTACCCCTGACCTGGACTTCACGGTTCACTGTTCCAGGTGATCCTGGCATCATATCCTCGATTCTTGTTCCTCTCTAAGTTTCTTTTCTTCCTGCCTCGGTCTGGGTTTGGTTTGCTGGAAGTTAGACTACACTCCTCACTGACTCCTTTGTTCAACGACTCCGCTATGTCAGGCCCTGCCCCAGGTCCTGGGGCTATAAAAATGCACCCTTGCCCCAGCGACCAGAAATGCAGAAAAGGCAGTGCAGGGAGATGTAGGTGCAGCAGGACAGAGGTCACTGCTGGCTGACAGGTTTGTATCAGGACCACTAATGGCCTCCAGCCTCTGGATTCCTGAGAGAGAAATCAACTTCATGAGGTGTGAGCTGCCGTGGCCCCGGGTCTTCTGTCGTAGCGACTAACCCCATATGAAACACAGGAGAAGGGCGCACGGGGCACTTGTGTAGACGGGCCACAGTGACACAGAGCTTGTTGCGGGGACGAGGAGACACAGCGCTGTGAAGACAGGCTTGGTGCTCAGCCTGCTCCTTACTCACCTGGAAAATTCCCTTTCTCATGCTTGTGTGTGGGTGCTAGGAGGGAGAGTGTATTCCAACAATGGTGGGGAACAACAAGAAGAACGTGTGTGTGTGTGTGTGTGTGTGTGTGTGTGTGTGTGTGTCGAGTTCCGTTTTAGATGCAACTGTGCAGGAGTTCCGGGAGCAACTTCTCTGAAGCATCAAACTCCAAACCAGGGCTGGGTGTAGCTCACTTGCCTACCATGGATAAAGCCCTTAGTTCGATCCCCAGCACTCCAAAACAGAATAAACTCGAAACTCACAGAATAATAAAACACAAGTGCACTCATTTTCAGTTCTTTCCCAGAATCGGTGGGAAGATGAATTGACTGTTTCCACACTACTTAGCTCTTGTGACAACTCAAAGATTCTAGTATAGTAGAACATTTAGGGATTATTTAATCTTTCTTTCCCTTGAAGCAAGAAGAAGTAGTGAATAAATACAAATTAATGACTGACATACCACAATATTTTAAGATCTATTAGACCTTGCCATTAATACATAATGATTATATAAGATTCTTTGGGAGATTTTCTTCCCCTTCCTCCCTCCTTCCCTGTTTTCTTTTCCTTTGCTCTTTTTCTCTCCCTTCCTTCCTTTTTTAAATGGATTTTTAAAAAATAATTTATATTTTTAATGGATTCTTGAGGGTTTTCTCTTCTTTTTTCTCTCCCTCCCTTCCTTCCTTCAACA